TTATAAGAAGATTGGGAAGAGAAGAGGTCTGTTTATAAAGGGCTTTAAAAGCCAAACAGAAGACTTTATATTTTGATCTGGGCCATAATAGTAGGCTACGAGTGTTTATTGAATGGAATGTGGTTGTGATATGGACAGACTTGTGCTTTAGGAAGATCATTTTCATAGCTGAGTGGAGTATGTACTAGAGTGGGGAGAGATTTGAAGCAGGGAGACCAATCAGAAGGTTATTTCAGTTGTCCAGGTCAGAGGTGATGAGGGCCTGCACCAGAGTGGCAGCTGTGTGAATGGAGGAAAAGGGACATGTACAAGAAATGTTATGCATCAACAGGACTTGGCAATAGATTGGATATGGGAGGTAAGAGAGTGAGGAGTCAAGGAAGACATGTAGATTGCATGTCATGAAATACAAAGTGGAGAATAATACATAATGAGACTGGAAAATTAAGTTGGGGTCAAGTTGTACAGGGCTTTAAATTCTAAAAAAAAGGAGAGCAGTAATATTTTATTCTAGAGGCAATAGGAAGCTACTGGATTTTGTTGAGGAGGGGAATAACATGGTCAGACCTATGCTTAAAGAAAGACACTGGAGGATCCTGGTTTCCTCAATAATAAGAAGAAAGTTAGGAAAAGAGGAGGGCTTAGAAGGAGATAATGAATTCTGTTTTGGAAATACTGAGTTTAAGATGTCCTTGAGACATTCAGTTTGAGACGTCAAGTAGGCAATTGGAGGTACAAGACTGAAGGTCAGGAGACAGGTTAGGGTTGGGAAAATAGATCTCAGAATCATCTATGTAGACATGATAATTAAACCCATGAGAGCTGATGAACTCAGTAAGGGAAATACTATAGAGAGAGAAGAAAAGAGGACCCAGGATAGAGCTTTGAGGGCTCATACTCATATGTACCAGGCATGACTAGGTGAATATCCAGCAAAGGAGACTTAGAAGAAGCAGTCAAGCAGGTAGGAGAACTAGGAAAAAGCAGTATTGTGAAAACAAAGAGAAAAGAGGTTAATCAATAGTGGCAAAAGCTGTAGAGATGTCTAGAAGGATGAGAATTGGGAAAGTGCTATTAGATTTGGCAATTAAGAGATCATTGGTAACTGGTGAGAGCAGTTTCCATTGATTGATGAGATTGGTAGCTAAACTGCAGAGAGTTAAAAGGAGAGTGAGTGGAAAGGAAGCGAAGGCATCTATTATATGGCTTTTTCAAGGAATTTAGCCAAAAAAGTGAGAAGAGATATAGTATGATAAATACTGGGGGTGGTTGGGTGAAGCAAGGGCTTTTTTAAAAAAATTATTTAAGGATGGAGATGTGTTTGTAGGTAACCAGCAAGCAGACAGCGATTGAAGATTAATGAGAGTGGGGGTGGTGAGCAGAAGTAGGAGTGGTGAGGTATACTATGGCAGTCTACTGGAAAAGACAGGAGGGAGTAGGATCACTTGTACATGTTAGAGGAATTTTGCCTTTGTAAGGATTGCCTCACCTCTTCAGATGAGACAAGGTGAAAGAAGAAGATACTGGGGAAAGGCCTGATGTGAGCTGAGTATGAGGGGAGAATTCATTAATCCATATTCTATACAGCTACTGAAGTACCTTTCTTATTTATTTATTTGTTTGTTTGTTTGGCTAGGCAGTGGGGTTAAGTGACTTGCCCAGGGTCACACAGCTCGTAAGTGTTATGTGTCTGAGGCCGGATTTGAACTCAGGTCCTCCTGAATCCAGGGCCGTTGCTCTATCCACTGTGCCACTTAGCTGCCCCTGAAGTGTCTTTCATTTAAGCATAGGTCTGACCATGTTATTCCCCTCCTCAACAAAATCCAGTAACTTCCTATCGCCTCTAGAATAAAATATTACTGCTCTCCTTTTTTTTAGAATTTAAAGCCCTGTACAACTTGACCCCAACTTAATTTTCCAGTCTCATTATATATTATTCTCCACTTTGTATTTCATGATCCAGCCAAATTCACCTTGCTGCTTCTCAAAGATGAGCCTCCACCTCCTATCTCTATACCTTTGTAGTCTCCGGATTGTCCCCCATTTGTAGATTGCACTCCTTCCTTACTATACTGCTTAGAACCCCTTCTTTCTTTCAAGACACAACTTAAGCACCACCTTCTCACATGAAGCCTTGCCAGATCCCCCTCCTCCTGAATACCCTCACTCCTCAAACCACTTAAAATGTGTGTGCATTTTACTTATGTGTGCACAGGTTATCTGCACCAATGGAGTTTGTTTCTTGAACTCAGAAACAATTTTATTTTTGTCTTTATATCTCCATTGCCTCTAGGTCATTGATTAATAGTTAGAACTTAATAAATGCTTGTTGATTCATTGATGACATTTCTGTTAGTGAGTTTTGCCTCAGGTGGGGCAATAGAATTGATATCCTGTGGGCCAGTGGAACAATGTCTGTTTAATCAAGATAAGCTTTGTATACAGCTAGAGGCAGCTAGGTGCTACAGTGGATGGAGTGGCTAAGCCCAAAATCAGGAAGTTGTTGTTCAGTAGTTTCAGTCATGTCTGACTCTTCATGACTCCATTTGGGGCTTTCTTGGCAAAGATAATGGAGTGGTTTGTCATTTCCTTCTCCATCTCGTTTTACAGATGAGGAAACTGAGGCAAACAGGGTTAAATGACATGTCAGTTATTAAGTGTCTGACAGTATCTGAGCCCAGATTTGAACTCAGTCAGGAAGATCTGAGTTCAAATGTAGCCTCAGACACTTACTAGCTGAGTGACTCGAGGAAAGTCATTTCTCTGCCTTACTTTCTTCAACTTTAAAATATCTACCTCACAGGGTTGTTGTGAGGATCAGATGAGATGATATTTGTAAAGGACTTAGCACAGTGCCTGGCACATGGCTGCTCTTATACTCCTCTCCTTTATTCTTTTCCTCTTTCCTCCTTTATTTTGTTCCTTCCTTCCTTTCTCCCATACATCACCTACACCTCCTGCCTTTCTTGGCTTTGTTCAAATCTCATCTTTTGCACAAGTCTTATGCCAGTCCTCCATGGTGCTGTTGCCTTCCCCATTCAGATTATTTGCCGTCTATTTTACATATGTCTTAGATCTGCAGCCAATTGTGTATTTGTCTCCCCCCATTCAAATGAGAGCTTTTTGAAGGCAGGGGCTATGTTTTTGCCTTTCTTGTAAAGCACTTAGCACAGTGCCTGGAACATAATAGATGCTCTATAAATAAGCCTCCAGGCTTGGCACAGTGTCTGGCACATGGCAAATGTGCCAGATAACAACAGATGCTTGTTATGTAAGCTAGATTTTTATGACTCTTGAAAATTATTTACAGCAAACTTGTTTATTATGCATTTTACCACTATGGTGGTGATGAAAATGTTGGAGGTAGTGAAAATGGTGCCTTTTCACTTGTTTCAAAGTTTGACATTCTCTTACAGCTAGCCTCTGCTAATTGGCCAAACTGTTAGCAGTTGGAATTATTTGTCCCACTAAGTTCTCCTTGTCCTTCTACTCAGTTGAACAAAACTTTGTTAACTGTTATGTGGATAGCACTAATCTGACCAAAAAAAACTGCCAGAGTCCCAGAGACTTAACACAAATATTCAGAAATCTTTCTGTTGCCTTTTTTTTGTTGAGCTTTTTTGCAAATTGTGAGCAAATCTTTTTCAGTGAAAGAGAACATCCTCTGACTTACAAATGTATTTTACTATCATTTCCTTTCATGGTTCCCCCCCCCCCCAATTTCAGGTGATTGAGATTAAGGTTCTTTCTGTCTAATAATCTGGTATTTTAAATTAGTTTCTTAGATATTATTTGATTCTTTCACAAATTATAGTTGTAATAGATTTTTTTTCAATCCTTATAATAATTTAATACTTTTTCTGCCCTTCATTTTTCCTGAAAGCTAGAGAGAATTCCCATTGGAATATGTCTGTGTCATTCTCAGTTGGTATACAGTGGTTACTGTTGAATACTGCTGGGTAACTGTTTCACTTCTCCCACTGTTATCAGAGATTGTCACTACTGCCTCTCATACCAGCGCCATTCTCACTAGCCCAAGAGTGACAGGGCAGTTACTTAACCCTAATCTCATCATAGAGTAATTAATTCTATGTCAGACAAGACATAGATTTTGGAGAGACTTTTACTGAGAACTGTCCTGGATTTAATTATTCTCAGTACTAACATAACTCACTTGGAACAGAGAAATCATGTACCTACTATATTTGTAGATGATACAAAGCAGATACTGAAAATCATTTTAGAAATATTAAAATATAGTCTATTAGAATAAAATATTGATAAATAAAGAAATGCAGATGAAATCAAATCAGCTCAAAAGAGTATATATAATTTTCTGGAAAAAATTATTTACATGATGAACTACAGAGATTACAAAATTAGATTGTATAATTATAGGACTGTTTCTGTTGTGGGGAATCCTGCTAGATACTAAGCAGTCCCCAGTGGGAGTCATTTGTTCACTCATTATTCAAATTTTCCTCATCAAAGCTTATATGGTGATTCTTTTTCTCAGGAATTGAAGAACTGTAGAATTTTGGAACTGGCAACCCTCCTAGAGATCATTTATTCTACCCTCCCCTTCAATGTAGGAATCCCTTCTATAGCTCCCCCCAAAACAGGCATCAAACCTTTGTTTTAATATAGTTAGTAAGGGAGAGATTCCCAAGTTATAAGGCCATTCATTCTCTTGTTGGACAGCTTTGAAACTTTTCTTTTCCTTCAATTTAAAATTTTTCTAAAAACAGCTTTCATTAACAGAAATTGTGTTTACAAGATCTATAACGATTTTCAAATTTCTGTAGGAATTTAATGGTATATTTTCTGCTTAAAAAGTACTCTGAAGTAGAAACAAACACAACAATAATTTTGCTTAATAATTTAACCAAGTAGTATTTATGATAGTTTAATACTTCCAGTATTATAAACTTTTATATGAAAAAATTTAGATGAGCCAAAACTATAAGGAGGGTTTAATCGAAGACTGTCTTTCACTTCAGATTGTTGTGCCATGCTATGAAGGACCACATAGTGCGTGTTGCCAATGAAGCTGAGTTTATTCTGAATCGACAGAGGGCTGAGGATGTGCACAAACATGCAGAATTTGAGGTAAGTTTTTGAGAAGAGATGGGAATTTAACTTTTCTGTTTTCGGTCAGCTGTCACCTATGTATAAGACTGGACCTTAAAAAAAAGTGATTATTCTTTTTTATTTTTGAAAAAGAAAAAAAAAAAGACTTTGAAGACATTTTAGAACACTATTTTAAAAAATGAATAAATGTCAATCACAAAGTACTAGCTTGTTTTCTCATCAGTCTTACTGAAATCCAGGAAAATATTCACAACTTGAAGAAATCCCTTAATCAGAATGTGTAATAATTCGATGTAGTAGAGTGTCAAATATTTAAATGGAATTTTATTAACTTTCTTAAGGAAAATGCAAATAAAATGTTAAATATAATTTTTTTTAACTAGCCAGATTTTCTAAGCCAACAAAAAGGTGCTGAAGGTAATGGGGTTGTTATATAAATGAACTAATAGTTTTATCAACCATTCTGCAAATTGTTCTGCTTATCATCCTAGTGTTTACTTTAGTTTAGCATTAATTCAGTTTTCATTTTCCTTGCTTGTATGTTATCTATTAGATTACTTCTAAAGTATTGCTATTCTGTCAACTGGTTTGCAAAGTCATTAAGTACTAAGAATAATTTGGAAGATGTCTTTCATCTCTGGTGTAAAAAAATACATAATATTCAAGATGTTATAAATTCAGTTTTTACAGAAACAACCAAAATATTTTAAAATGCTGTTTTGTGGTTATTCAATAATTATTTGCCCCATTCTGTATTGCTAATCTAGTATGTATTCTGTTCTAAATCTAAATTCGTTATTTTAAATATTTTCATTGAGCAATATTGTGCTGCATTCCCCACACTCCATAGTATCTAAGATATTTGGGTGGCCTTGTATTACAGTTGGTTTGAAGTATCACACTGATATATCAGACTGACTTAAAAAAAAAAAAGCCGTGCTATTTTACTAACATGTCGTGGTATACCAACAAGTATGGTTTGGTTGGAAATTGGCGACTGTATTCTCAGTTTTGATGAGGTTCTTATCTAAGTGAAGCAGCTCTCTCAAACTTACAGTTTGATGTACTAGTTCTTTTGCTCTTTGACCTTGCAGTAAAGTATGAGACACAGAGATATCTGTTGTCGTTTTCAGTAGACCTAACCTTTACTTCACTTTGTCAGCCAGACATCAGACACTTGTCATATGGGACTGCAACAACTTTATTACCATCCATATACTAGGTATTTTAAACTTTGATAAAAAGCAAATTTACAATAAAGTGTGTATTGGAGTGAAGTTTCATATTGCCTCAACAATAAATAACATTGGATTTTTATCAGGATATGATGCAGTAACTTAAGATGACAAGAAAAGATCGAGTTATCTGTTCTTTGAAGAATATGTTTAAGTATACGATCTGTCAGAACTCCAAGCAAAATGAACATATTCAATTAACTTGCAGCTTCTGTTAGCAAATAAGATTTGGAATATTAACTAAATTCCCTGAAGGAATAGCCTTAAGTCAATCTTCTTTTCCAGTAAGAAAACCAAATGTTTTATGGGATATAAACATTTTAATTGTATTTGTCATATGAAAACCTCTAAAATGGGATTTAAAGCAAAAAGATAATACTTATGAAGTAGTTAAGCAGTAGAGTCCCTTAATGTAGGCCCCTGATAATTCTACTGTCATTAAGAAGATTATATGATGATTTGGAACTTTTTGAAATATTAGTTACAGATTATAAACTTAGAATCAAGATATTCTTATATCTCACTTAAGAAAAATGAATATAGTATATTATTACTGGGTTTTGCTCAATAAATGTAACTTCCTTTTTAAACTAAACTGTTTTACCTTTTCTTAGGCTAGAACTGACTAAATAAATGAATGCATATTTTACTATAGTAAAAAAACTTATTTTATATTGGATTTTGCAATCCTATAAATCAAGGATTTTTGAGAAATTAAAAGTATATTTGTAGGAGTTTCATAAAGCTTACTTTATAAGCTTCAAATAAAGAAAAGCCAGATTTAGTTTGTGATGGTAACTTCATAGTTAACATTCATTTGGTTAGCGTCTGTAATTGTTAAGGAAGAAAAATGAAAATTTAATTTTACTGTCCAATGAGCTGATGAAATATTAACCTCATTACTGAGGCAGATCATTGTACTAATTGGTGCTTCCCTGTACAAGAAGATAAATTGAAAAATGAATTAACCCTTTATAGATTGCTACAGTGGTCACTTTTCAAAAGAAATAAACCAGAATAGTGATCTGTAATAGTATATAGGGTACATACAGGGAAATATTAAAATTCTCAAGTATCTCAACAAAAGGTTCCTTTTGCCCCTCCAGAGAATAAAGTTGTTCAGCCTTATGAAATGCTAATGTGAAGCAAGTTGCCTCATTTTTATTTTTCATTATTAATTGTTAACCACTGAGAAAGTACTTAGAAATATTAGAATATTCAAGTGAGCTTCTCTATACTAAAGCCTTTTTTTTTTTTTGATCTGGACCTGTGATTTCATCCAAGTAGGCAGCTCTCTATTAGGAAACACCTTCAAGCAATTGAGATAAGAAACTCTTCTTCAACTGATAAGCCTAAAGTGTTTCCTAAGTCACTGGGAATTTGAGTACCTTGCCCTGAGTCAAATAGCCAGAGCTGAACAAAGACCTTCCTCACTTGAGGGCAGTACTTTATTTCCTCTGCCACACTGCCCATCACTATCCTACCTTCTTATTAAATTGCTTCTCAATGTACTACCACTTTGTTATGTACAAATCCAAACTAACAAAAAAGACTGATGCACATGTTCATTTACAATTCTTCAGTATCCAGAAGGATTCACTATTCAGCTCTCACGCTCTCTCTCTCTCTCTCTCTTCTCTCTCTCTCTCTCTCTCTCTCTCTCTCTCTCTCTCTCTCTCTCTGTAGCTAAGATTTGTCATAGATATGAACCCTGCAAGACAATTGAAATGGGTAGGGGAAAATGGAGGATAGAGGAGAGGTTTGCCAAAAGTCACATGGCTACTAGGTATCTGAGTCAAGACTTGAACTCAAGTCTTCCTTACTCTAAAATCAGTCCTCCAGATATTCTAGCATAATTCCTCTTAAATGAAAATATCATAGTCCCGATTTTAAAGATAGAAACACTGAGATTCTAGGAAGTTCAGTGACATATCCAAGATAACATAGTTAATAAGTACAAGAGTCAGGTCTCAAACTGATATTCTTTTGTTATAAATCCACAGTTCTCAATGATTTTGACTATGATTATCCCATTGTAACATCAAATTTATGGATGCCCATGTTCTAGCAGTTGTTTTGCTGTCCTCTGTTGATTGAAAAAAATAATGGCCAAGAGCTACTGCCAATTTATTAATACTTTTAAACAAATATAATTTATTATTCACAAAAAAATCTACATATAGTTAAAAATAACATTGTTCATATGCAGAAAAATTACTTATTCAGTCACCACAGTGTCCTAATATGTTGCCTCATTGCACCCTAGAGATGACCTCTGTTCTTAACTGATAATGCCAGTATGGTCCCAGGAATGGACATGATCTGATTTCCAAAGAAAGCTTAATGGAAAGGCTCAAAACTCGTATATTGGCTACTAGGTCTTGATTCCTTAGGCTATAGCAACTTATAAAATGAAGATAAACAAAATTACTTTTAGTTTTGTATGAGTGCCTCCCTTGACCTTCTGCAGTGGCCATGGCAGAAGGACAGACTAGGGGATGATACTTACAACCTGTTTTTAGACTGTCTAGAGACAAAACTGTTGGTAATTTGAATATAATATCCCTGTCCAGTGATGACTGTGTAGGGGTACTTCTACAGGAACTGATTCATGCTCATCTTTACATTCTCACCAGAAAGAAATTTAGAACACAATTCGAAAGTACAGCTAAATGGAAAGATGATACACAGGTTCACCATAGAGAAGCAAATCAAGGAGGTCATAGAGTTGTTTTTTATCAGTGTGTCAAAAGGAAGCAAGAAATTCCATTTCATGGAATACTTAGTCATCTTTTACTGCATAGTGAAATGAGTATTTCTAAAAAGACTGTCATGAAAATAATTACAGCTTGCACCTCAGTTGTTTCAGAGACTCGATCAGTTAACAAGCACTTAATTGCCTATTATATATACCACAGTACCAGTTCTAGGTGCAAATATACAAATACAAAAGTGAGACAGACATGCATTGTTCAAAGAAAAGTAAGCATAAAATATATTTTAAAAATGCAAAATCATTTTGGGGAGCGGTGCGGGGAGGAAGTACAATTCTAACAACTGGAGAAAATCAGGGAATGCATCTTGCAGAAGGAACTACTTTAACCTCAGAAAGAACTGGAACTTCCTGAGGAAAAAAGGGAAAGAGAGAAAGCATTCCAAGCATGGAGGATAGTCTGTACAAAGGCATAGAGATAGGAGATGAAATATGATGTGTGAAGAATCCCTGCTTTGTCTGGAATGTAAAGTACATGACGAAGCATAAGGTCTGATTAGCCTGGAAAGGTAGGCTTGCTGGAGCCAGATTGTGAAGGGTTTTAAATGTGAATCAAAGGGGTTTATTTCTTATTCTGGATTCAGTAGGGAGCCCCTGAAATTTCTTGACCAGGGGAGTGACACGGTTATACCTGTATCTGAGGAATATTAGTTTGGCAATTATGTCTACAGGGATTGTAGAGGGAAGCAACTAAATGCCACCCACGTGGTTGATGAATATCCATGGTCTAGATTATGGCAAGCAATTGGATGGACACCCTATAAAGCTGGTTGCTCAGTATATGTCTTTGACAGACACTGGAGATGAACAGTGAATCGAATAGGAAGAGAATTGGGTGGATGTGCTAAATTATGTAGTACTTTTAGTGACCCCAAATTTTTCTTGAAACAGCAGCTCAAAAAACACCCAAAAAACCATTGCCAGTAAGATCATAGAATATGACTCTCTAGAGAAATTAATGCCAGTGGGGAGGAACATGATTCTCCAATTGAGAATTTACAGGAAGACCT